TCTACAAATACATCATGCACGCTATCGCTTAACGCTTTACACTCATTTCTGTCAATATGCACACTATCACCCAATACTTCACGATCATTCATACCATCACACACATCGGTTACCATCTATTGAATCTGTTGCTGTGTCTGTTGAGCCATCGGTTCTATTGGCACAACTAGGGCTTTAACAGATCTCCAATGAATGGGCACCGCATCCCTGCGTAAACGAAGTTCTCCAGTAATTGCACTGATTTCATAATCTGATTCCTTAAAGTGTCTTTCACAGAGTTGTGAAGCACGTATGGTAGACGGAGCCAGATGACGGACTGTATTGCCTAAAGATATATATTTTTCAAAATAAAATACGGGCAATTTCAAAGATAACGAAAGTATAAAAAGTATAGACTCCAGCATTGATGTGTTTACAATCATTTTATGAAAATAGCAACGAATAAATCGTTTTGTAAATAAAAGAGGTTGAAATCGTTCTAATTATTTTCTATAACTAATGGAAAATCTGGTTTTTGAACGTGTAAGATTGAAATAAAGATTATAATGTCACAATCTTTATTTAATAAGTAGAATAAGCGTTTAATAATAACGAGGTACTATAAAAAAAATTAAAAGAATATTTATTGCAGTTTTTGATATGATGAATCATAAATTTGAAAAAAGAAATTTATGTAAAAAATGTTAATAATATAACAATAAGAAATGAAAAAAAAAGATAAAGACCCGCAAAGCATATCTGATCATATATATTTTTATTTTTCTGCATAATAAAAAGTGATAGCATGCCGTGTGAAGTCATTTTATTCGCATTTGAATTGTTTGAATGTATAGTGATGTAAGTCTCTTTTATAAGGAAATCGACACTACTAAACATAACTTGAGTGTGTAATATTAAGATTACTGTACCGTATTATTTTCAAGTAGGGTCGATGAAAAAACGTGGACAATATTGTTTTGTTAATACATACATATTGTATTTATTTAATTGATTGAGTATCAAAGTCTAGTTGTTGATGATATCGATTTGCCAAGCTAAAAAAATTATACTTCAATAATACAATAGATACTTCAAAAAATATGCATATTTGATATATTACTTAAAGATCTTCCAAGCATCAATATATCGATTATACATTAATAAACGCATCAATAAAGTTTCAAGATAATAATGCACAAATATAATCGCCTTTATTAAGACTTTTTTGAACTGAAATAATCAATGAGTGTCATAGAGTACTGTCGAATAAAAAAATTAACTAATTATTTGGAATGGAATCTGAAAAAGTGCATTTGAAGTTACACTAATGATTCGGAAGACATGCGTCAAGATTTTCAATAAACGAAACCGAACGAAAACAGCGCCGGTCGACTTTCCCCACCACTCCATCGCGACGAAAAATACGAATAATTTAACGTTTTCACGAAGTTTGATACAGTTTTAGCGAACAGGCTGTTAAAGCATAAATATCTTACAATACGAGGTCTGTCCGGAAAGTATCGGGCCTACCTTTATATTTTCGTGTTAGCGTTATTCTTTATCATCTGGTGGGTGGCATCATTCAAAATAATCCCTACTTGATTGAATAACACGGTTCCATCGATGTTTCCACTTTTCAAAATAGTCCTGGAACTCACTTTTAGGGATAGCCTTAAGTACACTTGTCGCATTGTTTTCAACCGTTGCTTTGTCATCGAATCGGTGTCCTTTGAGTGGTTTTTTTAGTTTTGGAAACAGTAAAAAGTCACAAGGGGCTATGTCGAGACTGTATGGAGGTTGTCGAAGCAATGCGATATTGTGTTTGCTCAAAAACTGCTGCACAAGATTGGATGAATGCGCTGGCGCATTATCGTGATGGAGAAGCCAGTCACCACTTTCCCAAAAGTGCGGCTGCTTTCTTCTTATTGCATCACACAAACGTTTCAAAATTTGAACGTAGTATTCTTTATTGATTTTCTCACTTGTTGGTGCATATTCGCGATGTACAATACCTTCACAATCGAAAAAAACAATCAAGATTGACTTAACATTGCTCCGACTTTGACGTGCTTTTTTTGGTCTTTGCAATTCAGAATGCTTCCACTGTGAAGATTGTTGTTTTGTTTCCGGATCATAACCATAAACCCATGATTCATCACCTGTAATAACTTTTTTAAGCCCATTATCATCATTATTGACCATTTCCAGATTGTTCAGAGCGATTTCTAAGCGAATGTTCTTCTGCTCTGTTGTGAGTAATTTTGGGATGAATTTCGCACACACGCGTTTCATTCCTAAATTTTCGGTTAAAATTTCTGAAATGATAGTTTTTAGTATCCCAAGGTCTTCTTCTAGTTCTCGCACAGTCATACGACGATCTTGTTCGATTACAAGTCGCACCCGCTCAATATTATCTGCGGTTTTTGTCGTCGAAGGTCGGCCGGAACGAGAATCATTATCGACAGAAGTGCGACCATCCTCGAACCGTTTATACCACTCTTTTATTCGTGTTTTGCTCATACACTCGCTTCCGAAGGCCTTTTGCATCATTTCAATAGTTTCCGAATTCGTATTTCCGAGTTGAAAGCAAAATTTGATGCAAATTCGTTGATCTTGTTTTTCAGTCATTTTTGACAATATCAAAATCCGACGAACGCGAAAAAGGCACTGTAAACAAAGACACGCTGCGCATGAACTATACGTCCGGCAGATGTCAGTAAGTAACCAATAGATTCGTGAGGCTTTACTGTTGACGTTTCTGTCCGGTAGAGGTCGCTCGAACACTATGGCGCGAACATATAAACGTAAGTCCGATACTTTCCGGACAGACCTCGTATAAGACATCTTAAGTTACTATTTCAGGCGTTTTATTTTTTGATATGTAAATTTTAGCTAATTTCATTCCGCAAGCTCATTTCATTGTTGAGCAATAGGTCGTCAACCTTAACAGCCTGTAATTTGGTCAATTATTAATAAAATTAGATGATTCTTTTTGTAAATTAAAGTAGTTGTGATGCTGCATAAATACCATATATAAGATATTCCAAAAGTTATCAAATAAGCTGATAAAATTCATTTGATAACCAAGCCAATTTTGTAAAGAAAAAACATTTGATATTATTTTATTGTAAGTATGCGTTAAACGATTGCCACCACTATGGTTAGCGATCCTGCCCCGGAACACAAACGGTCAGATAATTTGTTTGAAAGCTGAAAAATGGATAGTTATTTAACTTATGGCTACCAGCTTTGAAGCTCGTAAGTTTCTTTAATAAAAAAATTCATTGTATGACGTGGCAAATCGATATCGTTAATAATCTTAATATATTCAAGTAACATTTATTTTTAGGTCATATAAATTAATGAAACATCCTTACAGTCAAATTTAGCTTTTAATTAATATAATCAACAATGATCAAGATTACGAACTGGTATTTTATACGAGGTGATATTGATATTAATATTTATTCATCAAAAAATTTACAAAAAAAAAACTGTGATTCCGGCGCATTCGATACCATTAATTTTTTGAATAATATTCTTACAATTCAATTTATAAATGAAAATCGACTCTCAAAATAGTCATAAAAGAACAGTCATAAGTGTTGATAAACAGTTGTAACGGTCCTATCTATGAGCTAATTGATTATGTTACTGAATCACTGCAACCCGTCAAACGCATCTATCTGATTACTCAAATCAGCACATTAAACGGCACCACCTCACCGATTATTTGATTGTAATAGTACAAGAGTCTAATTTCATAACCAAAATAAGGAGCGTGACGTCACAAAGTAATAGATATAGATATAATGATTTTTGTTATTTAAGAAAAATATGTTAATTAGAGATAATTTTGATATAACAAAGTATTTCTTATATAGATTTTAGTACGTAGATTTAGAATATAGTCATACGAATTGCGTTTAATTATTAAATAATAATGAATTTTAATATGCAAAGTTAATTTATTTATTACACTAAAAATATGAATTATTAGAACAATGTAAATAGTCCAAATGCAAAATGAATGTAAACGACGGTTGAACATCGCTTCGTCTCTCTCTCTCTTCCTCTCTCTTTATATCTATAAGGAAGAGGAAGAAGAAAACAAGCGGGTGAGCGCGAGTACAATAAAAAATGGTCCCGGGGTCCAGTCGTTAGCCGTAAGACAGGGTCGGCGAGCCGCATCTGTTCCTCAGGTGTGCTACATCGACGCTGATCTACCCCGTCAATAAATTGCCTCGTATTTACTCTCGTTTTTTTGTCGGGTTATTCTGTTTGTTCGTCGCAAAATAGGGAACGAAGAAATCCGCGGAATTGTAAACGTTTAGGACAGACACCGGACATATGTAAAATAAATTGCCGAAAATTGTAAGGCTAAGCAGCGACAAAAAAGGCGCCTTGTCCATTTGGGCCTTCTTATTTCAGCTCATCCCTATAAAACTCACTCTCGCCAATGACCGCGGGCGTACGCAAGGTCTGCGTATCGTCGCCGGACACCACTATACTACTCCGAGGGATGAGTCCCTTGAGGTAGTTAGACCCCACGGGAAACCGATGGTCTTACCAGAGGTTTCCAGGTATTGTCGGGTCATAAAATGAACAGCTAGGGCCGGCACAGAGGCTCCCCTAGGCTGACAGGCTGGCGAGAGAGAGAGAGAGAGATGAATTTGAACAACAGGCAAACGACAAGAAAAGTGGAAGATAGAATGGAGAAGGAAAGGGAAACGGGGGCGTAAACCGTGTCGCATCAACCAGGCACCAGAACGATTTTTGGACTCGAACGAGCAGGTCGCCTTTTAGTCGCTACTAGCCACGCGAAAGTCTTTGTCAATTTGAAGAAATAAATATCAGTCTGCAAAATTATCGAATTTAACAATCCATTATTATTTCTCATACTCACCCCTAACATTTGGTGCCCCGGGTGAGGAATTCGATTAAACTAAAGAAATAATAATAAGTGTTAAAGTTTACGATAAAGAAGATAGAAGTGATTTATATCGTGCCTCTTATCAACAATGGCCCCGAGGAAGCGTCACACGCCAACAACGGTCAACGATGAGGCCCCAAAGAAACAACGACGGGTTAGAGAAGACTACCATGAGATGATTGTTACACAACCAGCTCCAGCCAAGCAGCCGAAGAGAGTAGTACAAACCCGTGCAACACCAGCCGTGAAACAGGCAAAGCAGGTATCACTGAGATCGCGGAAGGGACCACGCGGTCAACGTCAAGAACAAACGCCGCAGTCTGAGAGATCACTGATGAGCTCCCCAACCGAATCCGAGATCAACGTCATCGAGCCAGCATCATTCATCGACGAACAGTCGAGAGAAGGAACAACCAACACCAATGGAAGACAAGTCGACGGCGATCAGTTAGGTACTGTGTTAAGAGAACATGCGAGCGCACAATCGAATCCGATAAAAAATGTGATATTACAATTGTCACAAACATTGATTAACACGATGAACGCGATCCGCGAAGGTGCTACAGATGGTAGGAGCTCACGAGCTTCTGAAAACGTAGACTTTGATAAAAAGTTACCGGAATTCTCGGGAAAACCCCTACAATGGATGCACTTCGTCAAAATGTACGCTAAATCGGAAGCTAGCTTTAGCGATCGTCGGAATATCGGACGGCTTGACAAAGCGTTAAAGGGCAAGGCGTACGAACTTGTGAGGACGCTCTTAGCAACGACCGATAACCCGAGAGACGTCATACGCGAATTAGAGAACCATTTTGGCCAATCTTCGCTCATCGCTGCAGATATCGTCAGAGATCTGCATAGCTTACCGAGTTTGAAAACGAGCATGAAAGGTTTAGCGTTTTTCGCAACACAATTGAAGAGCGGCGTTGATACCTTCAAAATTCTCAAGCTGAGCGGATATCTCCATAGCCTCGATTTATTATCTAGTGTAGCCAAGAAAATACCGGAGTCGCTACAATCAGCTTTCAATCGGTTCGTGAACGAGGAACTCCGTGAACATGGTGATCTATCGCCGTTAGAGAAGTTAGCGAAATTCATAGCGAGAGAGTCGGAGCTCAACATACGCGCGGGCGTATTTGACATCAATACTTCTGCCAATGACGACGGCACTTCAAAGAAGTTGACGAGAGGTGCGAGAGGCGGTATCATCTGTGCGGCGGTCGACCTAGTAGGCGAGAAAGAGGACGGAACAACTGTCGATTCATCGGACAAATGCGGCTATTGCGGTAGACGCAGTCGTCGTGTGAGAGAATGTCGCGATTTCTTACATGAAAGCACGAAGCGTCGGTGGTTTTTAGCTAAGAAGATGGGGGTTTGCTACAAGTGTTTCGAGAACGGGCACTCACGATCAGAATGTAGCTCCAGGACCGTCTGTGATGTGTGCCGCAAGCACCACCATACCTTCTTACACTTCCACAATCGGAGCGACAATCGAGACCAAGTTGATCGCAGGGACGAGCGTGAACGTTCGAATCGCAAGGAACAATGTAGTTTTTTGGGGTCAAGAGATAGGCGTCGTTACTCAGAACACCGAGAAGCCCGTGACATCTCGAGATTCGGCGGGAAACAAAATGACCAACGACGCCATAAGGAAAGAAGCCACGACGTTTCGCGCGCGCGAGACCAAGCGTCGTCCACACGAAGGGAATGACTAACCGTGCGAAGGGGACTTTTACGCGTAGAGCCGTTGCGCGTTAAAGGACCGAGAAACGAGCTCGTCACGCACGCTCTGTTGGATGGAGGCTCCACCGTCACACTTATTGACTCACGATTAGCACGACGACTCGGAATAAAGGGAAGAGTATTTGAGACATCGTTACAAGGCCTATACGGGGGCCAGAACCACGTTAAATACGAACGCGTCAGTTTAACCGTTGTAGGGTCGTTTGGAGAACAACAAATCGAACACGCGCTTATCATCCCATCATTGAACCTGCCGCTACAATCACTGTCGAAGGAACTCGCCCGACGCGTGCGAGAAAAGGAAAATATAGAAATATTACCCTATCACGACGCGCCCCTGCACATTTTGATCGGACAAGACAACTGGCGCCTATTAGAGAGCGACAATGTAAGGAAATTAGATGGAAAAGGTCTTATCGCGACGCACTCACTACTCGGCTGGTCGGTACACGGTTACGTCGAGGACCGGGAAGGCACGGATATCATCACGTCGGTTACAACCACGTGTGTTATCGAAGATGAACCCGAAAGATCCGCGGAACTTGAGCAACAAATTAGGAACTATCTAGAGTTAGAGAATCTTGGCGTGGTGAAATTGGACCAAAAGGATGTAAAGAATGAACGCGCATGGGCGATCTTAGAGGCGACTTCACGAATAAGGGGTTGCGAATGGGAAACAGGTTTGCTCTGGAAATCGGGTTTGATGCCGGACGTAAATAGTAAGGCGACAGCGCTCAAACGGCTGTATGCGCTTGAAAGAAAGCTCGACAGGAATCCAGAATTCGCAGAACGATATTACGCCGAGATGGAGCGATTCATTGCAAACGGGTACGCGGAAAAGGTCGAAAAACACGTCAAGAGACCAAGGAGATGGTACCTACCGCATCATGGCGTGGAAAATGCGAACAAACCCGGGAGAACTCGCATGGTACATGACGCGGCTGCAACGACAAACAGTATATCGCTTAATTCGTTACTGGAACCCGGCCCGGATTTGTTAAAGTCACTGCTTGGGGTGCTACTCCGTTTTCGTCAATTTCTTGTCGCTGTAAAAGGGGATATCAAAGACATGTTCCTCAGAATTAAAGTAATAGAGCGAGATCGCGGCGCTTTGAGCTTTTTGTGGCGTGGTAGAGATCGTACTTGCACGCCAGAGACGTGGGAGAGTACAGGCTTGATTTTCGGAGCGACATCGTCTCCAACTAGCGCTATATACATAAAAAATTGGAACGCGCGACAATTCTCGGATTTGAAACCCGAATCCGTGAAGAGTATAATAGAAAATAGTTATATGGATGATTATTTGGCATCCGGGAAGTCCGTCGAAGAAATGCGAGAACGTGTTCGCGATGTAATCGAAATAAACAAGGAGTCCAACTTTCACATGCACGGATGGGCGTCGAATGAACCAAGCGTTGTCGCGGATGTACTCGATAATAATAGATTAGGTAGAAGAGAACAGGCAAACCTCTGCAACAACGAAGAAAAGGTTTTAGGCCTTTATTGGGACTGTAGCAAGGACACCTTTAGAATCAACATCAGTCTAAATAAAGTTCGCCTGGAAATACGACAAGGAAAAGAACGGCCGACGAAACGCCAATTCTTCGGAATTACAATGTCCGTGTACGATCCACTCGGGCTTATCGCGCCGTTTACATTATAAGCGAAGCTGATTATGCAAGATGTCTGGAGAAGCGGAATTAATTGGGACACGCGAATCTCGAACGAGGATTTTAAGGCATTGTCAAAGTGGCTGGACAATCTCGTAGCAATGAAGCAGTGCAAAATATCGCGATGTTACATAACCAAGACGTCAGATTATTCAGACATACAACTGCACATTTTTTGCGATGCAAGCCTGAAGGCCTATGCCGCGGTTGTCTATTTCCGGTCAGAAACACTCGACAGAAACGTGCACTTATCGCTGCTCATGTCGAAATCGCGCGTTGCGCCTAAAAAGCCTATGACAATACCGCGACTCGAACTACAAGCCGCCTTGCTTGGATCACGAATAGCTGGAGTTATCGAGACGGAACTAGAGCTGAAAATCAATCGACGCATTTTCTGGTCTGATTCGACAACCGTTTTACACTGGATTAGGAGCGACTCGAGGAGCAAACAGATGTTCGTGGCGAACCGATTAGGAGAAATAAGCGAACTAACGAAAACAACCGAATGGCGATGGGTACCGACACAACTAAATCCCGCCGACGACGCAACGCGACCGTCCGACCAGCCGATGCATACGGAAGATAGGTGGTTGATAGGGCCAGATTTCCTTCGCGAATCGTCTAGTGCATGGCCAGTAGAGAAAGCTCTGGGAAACATCGAGAAATCGAGCAACTTGAAACGCGATGCGAATACGTCGGCGCGACACTCGCTAAAGACCCTAAGAGTAGTTTCTTACCGGCAAAAATTACAATTCTAAGTTGGAATCGAATCGTTAAGGCAATGGATCGAGCGAGAATTTGCTTCTACGAATGGTACGGTAAAACGTTTAAACAACAAGCAGACAGTCAAACTTGTCTGAACAGGGATAAAAAACGAAAACACGCGATCCGAATATCACCCGCGTTAAAATTACGCGAAGAATCAGCTCTCACCAAAGTAGTAGAAGCCGAGAAAGCATGGTATCGTCTCATACAAGCAGAATGTTTCCCTAGGGAATTGCGAGCGCTAAAAAGAAATGATGAGATTCTCAGAGGAAGTAAACTGATAGGTTTGAAGCCATACGTAGATGAGGAAGGAGTATTACGAGCGAAGGGGCGCGTCGGGAAATTCTCGTCCGCGCCGTTCCAAAACAGACTGGTCATTCTCGACTCGGATCACTTCGTGACAAAATTGCTAATTGCCGCGTATCACCGACGATACAAACACGCGAACAATGAGACAGTAATAAACGAGCTGCGACAACAATTTCATATAGTCGGACTTCGTTCGAGACTACGCTGGCTCGCAAAAAACTGTGTAATATGTCGTTTACGCCGCGCCAAACCGGAAAATCCCCCGATGGCCGATCTACCTAAGAGTCGCCTCGCGTACCGAGAAAGACCGTTCACCCATTGCGGCATGGATTACTTTGGTCCGATACTTGTGAAAATAGGTAGACGGAGGGAAAAACGTTGGGGTGCGCTATTCACGTGTATGACAACACGCGCAATACACCTCGAATTAGCGCATACGCTCAGCGCGAGTTCAGCAATCATGGCCGTTCAGCGATTAGCCGGAAGACGGGGTTTCCCACGAGAAATCTATTCCGACAACGGCACTAATTTCGTCCGAGCAAGCAAGGAATTAAAGGACGCGATCGCGAGCATCGACAAAGAAAGACAGAAGGAATTCGCACATACTAATCGTTTTCAATGGCATTTTAACCCACTGGGCGCAGCGCACATGGGGGGAGCATGGGAACGTCTTGTCCGATCCGTCAAAGTAGCTTTAGCTCACACGCTCAACGAACAAGCGCCATCAGAAGAGGTTCTCCAAACACTATTTGTAGAGGTCGAGCACATGGTAAACTCCCGCCCTCTGACTCACGTCTCTGTCGATCCTGCAGATGAAGAAGCGTTAACACCGAACCATTTTCTAATCGACGAATCCTCGGGTCACCTACAGTTCGAGAAATACGAAGTGCAGACTTTTAGCCCGCGTAAGAACTTCCAGCTAGCTCAGCAATTTGCGAACGGGTTTTGGAAGCGCTGGCTACGCGAGTACTTACCTACCTCGATGCCGCGACAAAAGTGGAACGCCGAGATTCCAGCTTTACAACTAGGAGATATCGTCATCATTACCGATTACCAAATACCGCGAAGCACTTGGCGAAAGGGTAAGGTAGTGGAAGTATTCCCCAATACTTCCGATAACGTAGTTTGAGTCGTAAAGATCCGTTCCGGAAAGAAAGAATACGTCCGCCCAGTAAATAAACTAATCAAAATATTCGGACCGTCGGAATAGATCTAAAATTTCATCAATTCTTAGACCGGGGGGAGGTTGTAAACGACTGTCGAACATCGCTTCGTCTCTCTCTCTTCCTCTCTCTTTATATCTATAAGGAAGAGGAAGAAGAAAACAAGCGGGTGAGCGCGAGTACAATAAAAAATGGTCCCGGGGTCCCGTCGTTAGCCGTAAGACAGGGTCGGCGAGCCGCATCTGTTCCTCAGGTGTGCTACATCGACGCTGATCTACCCCGTCAATAAATTGCCTCGTATTTACTCTCGTTTTTTGTCGGGTTATTCTGTTTGTTCGTCGCAAAATAGGGAACGAAGAAATCCGCGGAATTGTAAACGTTTAGGACAGACACCGGACATATGTAAAATAAATTGCCGAAAATTGTAAGGCTAAGCAGCGACAAAAAAGGCGCCTTGTCCGTTTGGGCCTTCTTATTTCAGCTCATCCCTATAAAACTCACTCTCGCCAATGACCGCGGGCGTACGTAAGGTCTGCGTATCGTCGCCGGACATCACTATACTACTCCGAGGGATAAGTCCCTGGAGGTAGTTAGACCCCACGGGAAACCGATGGTCTTACCAGAGGTTTCCAGGTATTGTCGGGTCATAAAATGAACAGCTAGGGCCGGCACAGAGGCTCCCCTAGGCTGACAGGCTGGCGAGAGAGAGAGAGAGATGAATTTGAACAACAGGCAAACGACAAGAAAAGTGGAAGATAGAATGGAGAAGGAAAGGGAAACGGGGGCGTAAACCATGTCGCATCAACCAGGCACCAGAACGATTTTTGGACTCGAACGAGCAGGTCGCCTTTTAGTCGCTACTAGCCACGCGAAAGTCTTTGTCAATTTGAAGAAATAAATACCAGTCTGCAAAATTATCGAATTTAACAATCCATTATTATTTCTCATACTCACCCCTAACAATGAATAAGAAATGAACATGAGTAACAATTAGTTTCATTGATAACAGATTAATAATAACTGTTATTAATAAATAAACAATTAATAATTTATTTAAACTATAAGTTGTATATAGAACGAAAGCGTTAATTTTATACTTAATAATGACAAGTTTATAATTTATAAATCTTAGATAATTAATCTAATAATTACGTTATAAGATTATAAAAAAACCGTTAAAAATATGAAAATTTATTATAATTCAAATGTTATTAACTAATTTGAATATTTCTTTTTAAAAAATACTTCTAAAATTAATAAACTATAAGCTTATGTAAGAATTTAATACAAAAGGCCCACAGGGCCAATAATATCATAAAATTTTTACGAGGCGTCTCATGGGGCTCAGACCCCGAAACACTACTATTCCTATATAAAAGCTATGTCCGCTCAACGATTGACTACGGCTGTTTTATTTATCATCCAAAAACTATGGAGCACAGCTCGGCTCTCGGAAAAGTCCAATACGCCGCCATAAGATTCGTCCTTGGCTACCGCATCAGCACTCCAACAAATATCCTTTTATCCGAATCTAAACTGCCCTTTCTGGAAGAACGCGCATACTTTCTTTGCAGTAATTATATTAACAAAGTCATATCCAATCCGAGTTTATTAGCACATAAAAACACATCGTGGATTTTCAACAAAATTCAACATAGACAATGTAAGCTCAAAAATAGCAGACGATTACTTATCAAATGTATCAAAAACTCTAAATTTATAGATAACGCTATTTACACAAACAATCGCTATAATATCTATACGTACAATTATAACACACTCTTCAACCCAATTAATATTGACACTGAATTCGGCCTTGAGCTTAGTAAAGCTGCTAATATCAATGCCTTAATAGATAATAAAATTGCCAATAATGACGCTTATGCGATATTTACTGACGGGAGCAAAACACCTAATGATTCCTCCGTAGGCGCTGCCATGATTTGTGAATTTTTCTCTGTTTCAACCGTCAACAGACTCGACAGTAGAGCCTCGATTTTCACGGCTGAATGTATAGCCATCAATGAAGCAACTAAATACGCTCTCAATCACGCCAATCGAAATGTAATCATTTTCACTGACTCGCTGAGTGCGCTGCTATCCCTCAGAAATTTCCACTTAAGTGTTAAAGACAATCCATATATCTATGAAATTAGGCAAAATATCCTTGAATTTCAGATCAAAAGCACTAACAATAGTTCAGTTCATCTCGTATGGATTCCAGCACACTCAGGAATTCAGGGAAATGAACGTGCTGACTGCCTGGCTAAAGAATCCACCCTGTCAAATCCTGACTCTGACCTTAAAATCCCCTTCACTGATCTGAAAATGTACCTTAATAGCGCCGCTCGCACCAACACACTTGAAGTAATTTCTGAAGAAGGAGCCTATAAAGGAAAACATTACTTTCAGAATTTTCATAACGATAGAATTAAACCCTGGTTCTCCAAACTTAAAATTTCGCGTCATATTACCACCATTAACCGATGCAGATCCGGACACTATAATTTAAAATCATCCTTGTTTAAAATTAAAATTTGCAACAATACAATTTGTGAATGCGGTAATGAACTGCAAGATCTCGATCATATCCTTTGGCAATGCCCCTTGTACGATATGCACAGGATAAAATTCATCAACAATCTTAAACACTCCAGTATGCTCCTTCCTTCCTCAAGTACAGTGATATTAAGTAACTGTAATACCAAAATCGCACATCATATTGTTAAGTTCCTCGACGACTGTAAATTAACTAT